CTCTCTTTACTCGATTAGGTTTGATAAACTCGCTCCTTTCTCATCCTCACAGAGAACGGGCCCTAGTTATAGAAGCGGCCCGGCATTCTGTCCTACGTTGAACGCGACCGATTCCGAGGAGATCCTGGTGTCTTCCGGCGTGAAGAAGGTGATACGAGTCAAAGTGCACATCATCGGGGTAAGTAACGCTAGTATCCATCTTTCTCGAGCGTGGAATCCCGTCTAATGCTGTCACATTAATTCCCTGGACGTTTTCTCGTGTCGTTAGCCGCCCTTTCACGACACACGGAGGGAAAGAAGGAGTCGTGTCGAGATTGGTCTCTGTCTAGAATGATTGACGCACTAACCTATGCGAAACATCTTTTCCAGCAATTCATCGTGCAGACTCGGTTCGTCTGTCAGTTCAACATAGAAGGCCGTGTGACGAGCGTGAACGCTCGACTGCTTGCGGACACGATTTACTGCGAGGAGACTGAATTTGTATACACATCCCGCGCGCCTAACATCACCGTGCCATTCGCTGTGATCTGGGGCGGTTCGAAGCCTCTGGACAACCCAAACAACATCCATCTGGTGGTATACCGGTGCCACGACATGGCAGACAACTGCGGAATATGCCTCACCCTGGCGACCAAGTACGACTGCGGATGGTGTCAAAATAAGGGCACATGCGAGGTGGAGGATAACTGCGAACGCAACACCGGCTCGTGGTTGAACAACACTCAGACTTGCCCGAACCCTGAGATACACTCGTTCGAGCCGGTCATGGGACCTTGGGAAGGTAACACGAACGTGACGATACGTGGCATCAACTTGGGCCAGACGTTCAAGGTAAGAGTACAACTGGCTTGGTGTGCACAGTAGGATTCAGTATAACGCGAGCACAAATGTTAAGAAACGATGACAAGATTAACTTCTTTTATTCGTAATGTTTCAAGCACTGGAACACGTACAGCGTGGAACGTGTCTTCCGAACTGTAGGGGTCTTACTTGGGTATAATACGAGTCTTATACCGGGAAGCGTCGATTTAATTTCAGTCATTTCTCGTTGAATCGTTTGAAAAATATTTACTCGCAACTGCGGATAGTGCTTTAGATGCGAATCGATAATGAGTGTTTTTAATATTTGTTAGTTTCGGTACGAAAAATGTGACACTTGGCTTATTTTAGGACATCTACAGTGGTGTGGTGGTCAGTGGATTACCCTGTCAGCCGTACGAAGAGCTCTACATGCGCACGAAACAAATTGTCTGTCGGGTAGACGGTCCAGGTGCGTCGCAAGGTAAAAGCGGACCTGTAATGGTGACGATCGAAGACTTCCGAGGCAAATCCAAGTACAACTACGAGTTCGTGGATCCTCAGATCCTCTCCATATCCCCAAGATATGGACCCGTGAGCGGAGGTACCACAGTAAGGATCACCGGCAAGTATATGAATGCTGGCAGTACTATCAAGGCATTCATCGATAAGCTACCGTGCTCTATAATTAGCACAGAGATGAACGAGGCTCTTTGCATGACTAGTGCCAGTGGTCATAAGAGAAATGGCACGGTGAAGATGTCGTTCGACGGTGCAATAAGAATGTACAGTGGATATTTCGAGTACGCGGATGATCCAACGATCGAGAGCGTGGAGAGCGGCGTGGCTGGCCAAATGAAAATGCCAAAGGGTATTCCAGCAGGCGGAATAAAAATCTCGGTAACCGGGAAGAACCTGGGCTACATTCAAAGTCCGCAGATGTACGTGTATTATGACGAGAAAATGTTCGTATCGCAGTGCGAAGTGCACAGTCAAGAGAGCATGGTTTGTAAGTCTCCGACGATCGAAGTTCCAGAACAGGTTACCTTAGACGCGGAAAAACCATTGATGCTGGAATACGGCTTCCGTATGGACAACGTGACGGGTGTGCAGAATCTGTCGCAACACGGATTCAACCATTTCCTGCTCTATCCGAATCCTATTTACGACGTATTCGACGAGGAGATCAAGTATTATAAGAGCGACTACTTGACCATCAACGGCCAACATCTGGATCGCGCCTGTCAGGAATCGGATGTGATAGTTCAAATAGGAAATTCCTTCTGCAATGTTACCTCGCTCTCAAGACAACAACTCACGTGTAGACCACCCCTGACGCAACCACCAGCTATCGACTCTGACGGTTTTCCAAACAAACAAGAACTACCCGAGGTGATCGTGATCGTGGGAGGCACACTTCGCTACAATATCGGGAAATTGAGCTACGCACTGCCAGCTGGTCTAAACGGACCACTATCGAAACCTGCTCTGATCGGAGTAATCGCCGCCATAGTGGTCATAGTGTTCGTGTTTATCGCCTTCCTTATCGCGTATCGTCGCAAATCCACCGAGAGCAACCGAGTGCTGAAGAACATGCAAGAACAAATGGACATTCTAGAACTTCGTGTCGCGGCTGAGTGTAAGGAAGCATTCGCTGAATTACAAACGGAAATGACTGACCTTACTGGCGACCTCACCAGCGGAGGTATACCATTCCTGGATTATCGAACATACGCCATGATGATATTGTTCCCGAGCGACGACAATAGCCCGGTACTGCAATGGGACCGACCGGAATTGGCACACAAAGAGAAAGGATTGCGTTTGTTTGGGCAATTGATACTGAACAAGACATTTTTGCTTCTCTTTGTAAGGACTCTCGAGAGCAATCGATACTTCTCAATGAGGGACAGAGTGAATGTAGCTAGTCTTATTATGGTTACGCTTCAGAGTAAAATGGAATATTGTACGGACATCTTGAAGACCCTCCTGGCAGAATTAATAGAAAAATGTACGGAAGGAAAGAGTCATCCGAAACTCTTCCTTAGACGGTAAGATTTCTATTTTCTTGAACGAGTATCTTCGTACTTCATTGTCGTTTAACGCTTATTACGAGTGTAAAATAATTTTAGAATAATATCCCAACATATTTTACGATGTCTCGTATGTATTTCAGAACGGAAAGCGTCGCTGAAAAGATGTTGTCAGCTTGGTTCACTTTCCTCCTGTACAAGTTTATGCGAGAATGTGCCGGAGAACCATTGTACGTACTATTTCGTGCAGTGAAACAACAAGTCGATAAGGGTCCTGTCGATGCCATTACGTCTGAAGCACGATATTCGTTATCCGAAGAGAAGCTAATCAGACAGTCCATTGACTTCAAACCAATGGTAAGGTTTATCCTTGCCCATATGCAGCAACCACCTCTCGAATCTTTTCGATTTCTTTTTCTATCTGCGTTGTTTCTTTATTATAATTATCTGAAATAAATTTCTAGACGGTCTGTGTATCTATATCTCAACAAACGGTCTTCGTCGGTGGTATGGATCCAAACACGGAGAACGTTCCAGTCAAGGTTCTCGACTGCGACACGATATCTCAAGTGAAAGAGAAGGCATTGGACACGATCTACAGAGCCACACCCTACAGTCAAAGACCGAGGAAAGATGATCTTGATCTTGGTAAGCTGCCAAAACTTCAAACCGAATAACATATATACGTATATAAATATGTGCATTCAATCTAACACGTGATTGTTGGAACAGAATGGCGAACTGGAGCCTCTGGTAGATTAATCCTCTATGATGAAGACTCAACGACAAAGACGGAAGGAGAATGGAAAAAACGAAATACGCTGAACCATTACAGGGTACCAGACGGAGCGTCGCTCAACTTGGTCTCCAAGCAGTCGTCGATTTACAATCTATCGATCCTCTCCGAGAAAACGGACAAATCGCACAAATATGAAACCCTGAACCTTAGTAAATTCAGTTCAGCCAGCCCTCCGCTCTCCCGTGCCACGTCACCGTTAAATCAGAATCACGATGGTGGTCTGAAATGTTGGCATCTCGTCAAACATCACGACTCCGACGCACGAAAAGAAGGAGACCGTGGAAACAAAATGGTGTCAGAGATCTATTTGACGAGGTTACTCGCCACGAAGGGTACTCTCCAAAAATTCGTCGATGACCTGTTCGAAACGATCTTTAGTATCGCCCATCGGGGATCGGCCCTTCCCCTTGCGATTAAATACATGTTTGACTTCATGGACGATCAAGCACTGCAACACGGCATATCCGATCCCGAAGTGGTTCACACATGGAAAAGCAACTCGCTTCCACTCAGGTTTTGGGTGAACCTTATCAAAAATCCCAACTTCATCTTTGATATACACAAGTCGAACATCGTGGACTCATGTCTGTCCGTCGTCGCGCAAACGTTCATGGACAGTTGTTCCACTTCAGATCATAGATTAGGTGTGTATTATCGAATGGTGTTATATTCGTTTGGATTTTAGACACGTTGGTGCAATTATACGTATCTCTTACTCGATGTTTTAGGTAAGGACTCGCCGAGTTCTAAACTGCTTTATGCAAAGGACATTCCAGTGTACAAAGAATGGGTAGAACGTTACTACGCAGATATCAAAGTGATGCCAGCCATATCCGATCAAGACATGAACGCCATGCTTGCCGAAGAATCTAGGGTACGATATTGTTCTCAATGATTAACGTTCCAGTCGATTTACGTCCGTTAACTTTCACATTTTCTTCACGTTTTATCTTTACAGTTGCATACGTCGGAGTTTAACACGAATTGTGCCCTGTACGAGCTGTATACGTACGCGGGTAAATACAACGAACAACTGATAGTTACTCTGGAGGAGGACGAGTTCTCGCAGAAACAGAGATTGGCGTACAAGCTCGAACAAGTACACAATATAATGGCGGCGGACAACCCCTGATGTACCATGAACTCTATGAAGCATATGACAAAGCCTGCCCGCCAAGAGTTACCCTGCTGAATACTCGATCGCAGTTAGGTACTCTTAATGAAGCACCAAGAGGACTGGCCTATGTTGTAATTGATCGTCTCAGGTTTCCGTGCAAGCCAGTTATCTCAGCTTAGTACGCGAATTATTAATACAAGAAGAAATTGCACAACGGACCGCTGAAATGTTCGAGCGAAAAAGTTTAAAATGTCTACGAGAACTAAAGTGTGTGTGTGTGACAAAGTCTTCTGAATTTGGTCGCTGGCTGGCAGGTGTGGCGATAATCACATGGCGCATTGTCACGCATAATTGTACATAAAATACCAAAATCACAATTAATTGTAATAGAATTATCGATGTGCACCCACACCCCCCGGCGACCACAGCTACATACAAATTGAAAACTGAAACACTTCGCGCGCTATGAAATCGTCGTGGTGACGATTCACGTGCCGCAACCGGCGGATAGGGTTTTAAAGCGAACGAAAATAATAGGACATTAGTGTTATAAGTGAGTGAACGAATCAGCCGATCGATCCGATAACCTGTAAACGTGTTTAAAACGGCCGATATTTGCCGCCACTATCGGGGATCGGCGATTTTTAACGAAGAAACATTTCCATCCACCGCTACTAGCTGAAATTTTTTTGAATTACGAACTGACGAATTTTAATAAATAAGATAATTAACGATTAACGATGATTAATTAAACAATATGGGTATATTATATATACATGGATGGTATGTCGTATGTATATGTGTACATATATACACTTTATACCGGCGCAAAAGTATGTGTGTATGTATATGCAGTATCCGAAAAATGAGCGCACGTACAGTATCGGCGCTAATGCCAAAATATTTCTCTCGTCACGGTTGATCATCGTTGTGCGAGAAAGCAGAGGTTAAACCAAGTACAGAACACAGATATCACATTAGCAATTCTTGTCCAAATTTGTAATCGTGAACTTTCATCGACGATTGCGCAGTTCGCCATACTGTACGTACGCTATGCATTACGCGTATTATTTATACTTACATGCATCCAAAACGAAAAAAAAAAAAAGGAAGAGGAAGGAGTCATCCGCGAAATCGGAGACAGACTGTGTATTAGTTGATAGATATTAATCTATGGACTATGGCCGCGCGCGAGGCCAGCTCGATGTGACGGTTGTGTTGAGTGTGCGTGCTTCCCCTCCTTGGTCTCCAGCTCATTGTTCCATTTTATCATTAATCGTTCATTCTCATCGTCGTGCATCCATCACCTGATGTTCACCCGATCATTGTCGCGCTATTCATGTTCATCAGAAAAATTCCCCATTATCCTCGTGTCATCATTACCTCTCTTTATATTACATGTAGTAAAGATGTCCACTATCGGCGCCTCTTCTACTCTTTCTCATCATTCCTAAAAAAATCACATTGTGCCACTCTCTCTTCTCCCTTGTAATGCTTCAACGCCTCCGTCGTCATGTTGTTGTCACTCTTAATTATTGTAATATATAATGAATAACGATCACTGTTGAGTATTGTCTGATTGTAATACATTGATATTGAATTGATATGAATTGATAATCATTAATTAAAGCGTAACATTAAACTCTGTGGATGTAGCCACATTGGTATGGGTGGGAGTTTAAGACAATTGATGCAGATGAGAATGGTCGGGAGCCGTTCGCGATAGACAGCACTCAAAAATCACTTTGTCCTAGAAACGTTTTACCTGCGCGCCATTTTCAATTGTGTCGAATCGATATTCGTTTTTATCTATATATACATATATAGAGAGAGAGGGATCAAAAAATGGTATCATGGTTTTCGAAAATCCTTTGCTAGGAATTTTCACAATCTATCGTTTCTTCCAAGTTAATCGTACGCACGGTTAACGTAACACTTTCACAAACGCACATCGAAACCCAATATGGCGTTTCGTCACGTGATAAGACTTTTCGAGACCGCGTAGGTTAGTTTCGATTATATATCGATACTATCGAAAAAAGAATTCATATCGCCGAAGGTGTTCGTACCGAAGCAACCTTCGATAGTTCTGTCGACGCGAGCGGCTAGTTGTGAATGTGTATTGTTCGTGTATGCGTGAGTGTGTCCCGTGCGTCAATTCAATGTGCAGTTGTCAGTGGAGAAAGTATTTATTGCTCAAAAAACATCGGAAGACCGTGTGTGGAAAGGTAAGGCAGCAGGGAAAGATGCGGAGTTGGTAGGCTACGGGAAAGGAACGGGGGAGGGGGAATGGATGGGTGCGTAAATTCAAGCGGTGAACGTACGTGAAACATGAAGAAGAAAAAAAATGGATCACAGACAGGGTACTCCGCCAAGTCGAGAAATACGGAAAAAAGCGATAGAAGCTCACGTCGTTCAGTCGCTGTATCATTTGCAAAAGATAACAAATACATAAATAAATAAAAATAACAAAAGACAAAGGACTCGCAGCGCCCTCCCCCGCGCACGCCGACTTCAAATGGTACTAATAAACCCAAAGTGCCTCTGGTAGATTTTTGGGCATAAGCTTGAGTAATAAAGACTACATAGCGTTTACTATAAAAGCACGACTACGACGCGATCGCTGATTGTAATAAAATGATGATAATAATAATTTAAAAAAAAAAAAGAAAGGAAAAGGGGAGGAGATAGGAAACAAAAGGGAAACTGAAAGAAACGAGTGGGAAGGAGAGAGCGAAAGAAAAGAGAAAGAGAGAGAGCGAGAGAGAGAGAGAGAAAGAAAGACAAATAGGAAGCGAGGGACGGGAGCGCGTGTAACGAACGTATACACGTGCGTGCTTATTGAAACACAAAAGAAATAATAAGAAAAAATAACCAACCCGAAAGGCGGGCGGAGTGCGGGCGTACCGGGTGTACGCGGTGCGTACGCTAATTACACGTTTAGATAGGTATACATATAGTCGGTAGCCTAGTCTCTATGTCAGTGTCTGCCCTGAGTGTCTTTCCCATGGTGTATCCCTATAAAATGCGTGTACCTTGAACTCCTGGCAAGCAGACGTGCAATTTCCCTAAAACGTTCAACTAACCTCCTTCTTCCCCGGTCATCTGCCCCGAAACGAAGGAGAACAACCCGCCTCTCCCTTCTACCAACGTCCTCCTGCGCCATCTTATCACCCCTTCCACCACCAATATCATCGTTATTATCATCAAATCCCCCTCCCTTCTTCGTAACGCGTTTAACTGTGCTCACACATCACGCGTCCTTCGCCACACTACCGATCGGCACGTTTTGCTAAGTAAATATTATTATTGTATCGATGGTTCCTCATTAATTATGGAATGTACGATCCCAATTTGTAAAATTCGAACTAAGTAAGGAGATGTGTATCGCCGTATCGTTCGTGCGTGGCTTGCTGCCCCGGCAGTCTACTACCGTGTGTGCTGAATCGTATTTGGAGAGAGAACGTACGCCTCGAATTGAATGCCTCTGTGGAAGGATGACCGTGTACGTATGAGCATACATTTAGGTCTTCTTATTTGCCCGGTCTCTGCTCGACGGTAAGTTCGATCTTACGTTATAAATGGTCTTGGTAAAAGGAGGGAGCGAGACCATTGCTAAAGAGGGAGATGACAAATAAAGGAGACTGAGAGTGACAGATCATTCGGATGAAAGGTTTGCATGAGTGTTTGTGGACTGTGCAAGACTGAGAGAGGCAGCGGTGGGAGCTTGCCAATCAATCCCGGGGTCGCTCCCTCGCCGCTCATTTTTACGTCATAAACATTAATTATGATTATACATACAAAACAAAAAAAAAAAAGATAATGCATCCAGCAACACGATTACATTACGTTTATAATAGTCATGTTCCTTTCCGATCAATAATTATTATTAATAAATCTATATCAACCTTGCTACATTATTTTGTACTTGTTTTTTTAATCTTAATATATTAGATAAAAAAAATATATATATATAAATAATGCCGTTTTTAAGTTATCCGATCTTTATTATTATTATTTTTGTATAAATGTGTGATTAATAGTACGGATAGTGTAATAATTTTGTATGTTTATTGAACCAAAAATAAATATTATTGATAAAGAATCATCGTAGGCTTGTGTTCAACTTTCCGTCTCTTTGTTTAACGGACTGGTGACGGTGTCGTTCGCATCTTCCACTTTCTCAGGAGATTCCGGTGTTCTCAGTGACCGTAGACTGCGTGGCCCAATAGTGCTCAATATAACGGGAAGAAGAAATAACCCATGCCAAAGGCCGAACAATATTACCAAGAGGAAAATTTTCAGGAACGCATGAAACACGTAACTTTCCGAGTATGCCATCATGGAAAGTGCAAGCAACGTCGAACCAGCACCATATGCAACCGCTGCACCTATATACCTTACTGCGATATGTGCCCTTTTTGTACGATCCTCACTGCCACTTACAGATGCAGCATTTATAAACGCGTGTGCAACGTGAGCAGCATAATCTACGCATAATCCGATGCCCAATTCCAAACCTAGAAAATAGTGATAAAACAGTGTTGTTGACTTTGTGCAATGGTAAAGTTTGCGTTAGATCGAGAAATTACGTACCGATACAAGATGCAATGTCTATCGTTAAACCCCAAAAGTGCATGAACCCACAAACGTTCAGGAGTGTTAGGAGTACGCAGAGAAAGATCCAGAAGCATGTTTGCAACTCGGCGATTAACAAACCTGTCATTCCCATGACACAAATCAAGGCCAACAAAACGTTACGCTGAACCTCTTGGGCAATCAGTTTGTCGGTGACCCACAAGCTGAATACCTCGCTCCAGACTGTAACAAAACCGTCAACACCGATGTCACGTGCCACCTGCTTGCTCTCGTCCATCGCCGGGATCCATTGATGGGGACCATAGAAATGTTTGAAGGTAAAATCCATAGTACTTAATAATATCGGTGGAGTATTTTCACCACATGTTAAATGTTTTTTGAAACGGAAATTCCGTTGATATTTACCGCCATTTCGACTGAATAAGAACTTGGATAAATAATTTTGAAATTCTGTGTCTTCTAGTATTTCATATCTTATATCTGTTAATTAAAATACTTAATTAATAAAGGTCGCTTCTTCAATTGTTACAATGTTAGGATATCGTCGAGAAGAGAATAGTATCGCTCACCTTTTTGAAAATATGCCAAGACAAATTTCCGAAAATCAACAGGCCAGGAATTTATAGTTTGTATGGTTGATAGATTCGCGAACGTTTCCGATAAGTTTATTAACTTTGGAATCTCGGCAGTGTAGTTGAATTCTCCCATAAGTATCATTGCTTCATAACCATGCTCAGGATATTCAGTGCGACGTACATTAATATATTTGCTTAGGTAATTGTGACTTGGTATGAACCAGGCTGGATCAAACCATTGTTGCAATTTCAATATACCCATAATTCCAGCTGATGCTGCAACTATTGTTATTAATACTATAATTATTTTGCCGGGTTTCGTTAGGATCACGTTTGAATACAATTTATTTATCAACTTGGCGGGAAGTTCTTCTTGTGGAGTGATAAATTTCTGTGTAAAGTTTTGATGAACGATGCAAGGCAGTATTGAATTTCTTTTATTTTCGATTCGTCGGGCATCGATGGAAAAAAAGGCAACGTAAAACGTGATTTGAAATAAAAATGTCAGTAGTACACCAAACGCCGCGTAAATACAGAATGATTGAAGAGATGGCAATATCTAGAAATACATGTAACATGTAACACTGTTTATATACCCTTTATTTGTATAATAAATTAAATATCAACTAAATCTTACTGTTGATGCACCGATAATAAAGGCAACAACGTCAGTAAGAGAAGTAATACTAATAGCTGAACCTGCGTGTCCTAACATTAAAGCTATTCTCTCTTCTAGCGGCTTATTTCGATTTAACTTGTGTGCATGTATTTCTTTCCAAGACGCCATTATTAAGAAATTATCGTCTACTCCGAGGGCCAATAACAAAAAAGGTAAAGAAGTATGTACAGGCCCGTATGAAATCCCAAGAACAGAACATACACTGATCGAAACTATAAAAGCACCACCCACGCACAAAAGACCGACAATCGTGAGATAAACCTACAGAAAATCGTAATCAACTTAAACCATTAAATTAATTCACATAAGAACAACATCAACAAAAACTTACCCTCCACCCTACCCAAGTATAATCCGAAAATATGACTAGAACGTAGAAAAACATCAAAATAAATCCTATTGATAATATACCAATATTTCCGAACATTGTTACGAATGTAACATCACCGAAGCTTCTACCAGCTTCGTACCAAATGGCTAACGTGTTATTTACATTTTTCTTATTATTTAACAATCTTGCATATTTGTGTAAAACATCTAAATACGATAGTTCCCACTGTAATACATCATCTGTTGCCTATAAGCAAAACAATGTTTTTATTTTAAACGTTATTGTTATAACATTTTTATAACACATGTAAAATATAAAACATATTTAGAAATATGTTTACAAAAAGTACATTTTAAACTATATTTTATATTTTGATTTTGTCCAGCATCAAAAATATATAAAATGTGTATATTTACAAAAAAAATTAACTGTTCTCCTAGACAAAGCATTTCACAGTTGATCTTGACAAAATCATTTTAAAAATAAAACAAGGCCCAAATCATATTAAAAGCATATGATACTTAATTTAAATATTACATACTATCTATTCATAAATAATATCTTTATGAGAAATTTTTAACCGCAAAATTATTTAATATATTTAAATCATGATTTAGGCCTTTCTATAAACTTACCTTACCCAATCAGCGGTTCCAATATCATTGCCAAAATTATCCATATCCACTTTTGAAAAGTTTACATTAACTGCCCATTGTGTTTTCACAGCACTAGCTGAGATAATTCTACCTTCTTTGTCTTTTATTATGCCACCCAATAATTCTGTAAAGTTTAGCGGGTGGCCCAAAGTGGGGCTAACTTTTGACTTATTTACATCCTTGATAATCTGTTCTTTAGACTTATGGCGAATTACATTGGTATCATACTCCCATATATCCAAAATACTGTTTAAAAGGCAAGCTTTCGGCAAGTTATTCACTATATTACAATAAAGTTCTGAATTAGCGTGAACTGCAGGTTCGAATTTAGTGTTATTCATTTGTATCTCTGGATCAATTTCAAAGAAATCATCAAACTGTTCGCTGCGTTTTGGTCTATGTACAATACCTGATATGACAGGTACTCTATTTGTTAAACAAAGAGAAATTAACTTTGGTTTTTGGGAAATTTTATAATATCTATAAAATAAAGTTTGCTCTATAACATGTACAGAAGAATGCTTACTTGAAACATACATCTGTCCATGCAATTTGATCAGAGGTTTGTATAGAAATAATTTCCTTCGTTATTTCATTCAACTGAAATAATTTGCATCAGTTAATACGTACATAACAAGCAAAGGGTACTTTTGTCTTAAAGAATTATAGAGATGAAAGTAAATACCACTGCAAGATTTTCCGGTTCTAATACATTGTCAGCTGTTATTATCATACTCTCCACTCTCAAACCGTGTTCGAAATGCTCAAACATCCATTCCGTGTCATGAACAAAGTCTGAATTCTGTGGAACCCATAATCTCACAGGGTTTTTCTCTTGATGAAAGAAACATAAACCAATAAGGGAAATTAACACTATCACGGTACTTCCAATGATCCATGACAAAGGTCGTCGAGCAATTCGTAATCCAAGCCTGAAGAAATACAATATCAAATTATGCGACTGCAAAGAATTCTCATGCTACATTGCAAAGACATTTTCAGACCTACCCATAGAAAAAGTGTTCTACTACTTCTGATAAACGCTGCGGTATACGTTGCAAAAAGCTTCGAAAAGTTCGCTTGCGAATGATTCTCTCTTCTATTTCCATTTTATGACGCTGAAACCGAATCACAGCACCATGGTTCTTCTTGTTTTCATGATTGAATTTTATGCGTGATTCGCATAAATCCCACTAAACGACATCAAAGCTAATAATTTTGTTTGTAATTCGAAACTATAATTTGTGACCTTAGTGACAGTTCACCGTAGTGATTGAAGGACAACGTACACCTAACCTCTAAATCTGACGTCCTATTAAGTACACGAACAGATATAGAAACGTGAAGAAGAACATGCAATCGAAGATAAACACTTCCATTTGAAGTAACTTATGCACGGAGCTTTTGTCTAGCTCTGCAAACAATCGACTGTCACTGTCCATTGCGAACCTTTTTAACTTATCGTTCGTTCCGGCGCATCAGATTACGTGCGGTAAACGCTTGCTCTGCAGCGCGCGTAACTATCGCCTAATATAAACTATGGTAAAAACGAACAATAGAATTTATCAGTGTTACGTTTCAGTATGTAACAAAACACGTATGTTTAAGAAAAAAATTAAATTAAAGATTTGTTACCGTCTTTATCTTCAAATACGCACTGTATTATTTTCACCTCGAAGAATGTGAACCAAGATCTCGAAATGATGGAACTCGTATACGAGTTTACATTTGTTTCCACGTTTTCGGTGCTTCAGAATTAATACCTACCGGTCCTGAATAAATTATCATCTTTAACACTTGGAAGAATGTATTTTATAAATATTCACTGAAAATAATATAAAATTTTCATTTTAAATTATTTCCCAAATAGCCGAAATTTGCCTAATATAATGACTGAAGTTATCTATGGTATTTGAAAATATTTAAACATTTTAAAGATGAAAACATATAATTGCGAAAGTGACATCATTCTACAAAAAGTCTGCAACGCAATGGCAATCGTAATTTACATATTGCCTCGATATTAATGACGAGTCACATCTTCGCAACTTCTATACGATATCATAAACGAGACAGAAAAAGACTTACCAGAAATCCAAAATGATGCACACTGAGATTGAGCACTTAAAGAATCACTTTATTCCTTGCCAGTTGATTCACGACCACTGACTTTGCTCAACGAATCCGAACAAGTCGCACTCAAAATTAACTTAATAACTGACTATTGACCTCAAAGACGTAACACAGCGAACACGTCGTAATCTATCGAGGTGAAATACTTATCAATTAAATTCAATGATAATGAAAGTATCGACGATGTTAGGTCTTGAATACATTCAGTCTCCATTTGAAACCCGGCTTGCCACCATCACTGCGCCTCTGTACAGATTAACATGTGCCGTACACTGTCTGCGAAACAACGAGTGCAATTAATTTCTTTTGCGGTTTCTTTCATGTCTAATTATGAATTGGGAATTAGAAGGGTACTCGAGTTATGCTTGTCGAAGCCCAGCGTGTCTACGTTCATCTGGTCAATGAGTTGAGATAACAGTTTCCATATTCATTCCATAGACAGCATTCCGGCTTATCGATTGTTGATTCTCGCATTGAAAAATAACACGGATAGCGCTACAACTGGTCAAGAGCACGAAATTGATAGTTGCAACGATACATAATGAACGTTTAATGGTCAGATTGTCGGAAAAATAAGAGATTCATTCCTTAGACGAGCGTTGTGTAATGTAAACCTCGTACGGATACTTTACGAGGTTTTATCGCGTATTTACTTGAAGCATGTTGTTTCTTTCGTGGAAAACGAAGAGAGGTATGTCAGATTGTAAGTAAAAAAGACGTGGTCGACGTGTGTTTTATCATAAAGCTTTTTATGATTTATAACGCATTACAGGCCAGGTTCGCTGCTTTTTCTACTGCAGTGTTCAGACAATGATGCTCGTTACTAGTCACGTATCAAACACAAGGACAACTACGGTATATAATTCTTCGCAAGTTGTAGATCATCGAAATTGCACAATGTTGTACACGAATATAGCAACCTTTTCCATCCACATCCAGAGTTTACGTTTTTTCGGTATTCTGCGATAAACTGTACAGGAAAAATAAAATATTCTATTCGTTTCGGCACTTACATGTTATCACGGAGGGTTATATAAATCACGTTAGAAATGTAGTAGCGAACGTGTACATTTACTGCTGACACTTGCAAACGGAGTACGTGGAATAACGAATCCGCTTATCGTATCGAAATGCAACGATTGCGCAGCTGATAGAATTATCAGAAATATACGTGATCTTATTGCCTTGCGGGTCAATATGCATAGTAAAGTATAGATACGACGGACATGTAAATTATGACGCATAGCTGGAAAGTGGACAAAATTGTTTTACAATAGCCATGCGCGTTCACGATTTTCGTGTGAACCAGCGTGTACAATATGCTGACCACTGCGAAACCGGGCAGAATCATTCTCGCCAGAGGAAACAGCGGTGACGTGCTCAGCCATATCGGGGTAATTAGCAGATAAGGTAATACAGTTTCAAGATCGTGTTGATGTGCACTTCGGATGCGATCCACGTCCTCGTGGCCGCCTGCGGTCGGACATAAAATTATGTCCGAACCTTTCAACCACATTCTGTCCTCCTCGCTGTGGATCACCTGCGAAAAATCGAGCAAAACGGTGCACGCGAATTAACGTGTTGTAAATCTCGTTTTACCGGGAAAAGGTGTATAATCGGTCGAGACGGGACAAGGTTTAAAATTGCTCGTCGTCAATAATCGGACGTAATTTTTCTCGAGGAACACGAATTCTAATGTAAACAGGTACTCGAGACCATCGAGTATTGCTTCTGTCGCGATAAGTGGCGCCATAATGTAAATAACGGTGCGATCGAATTTTTCTTATTTCTCTCGATACACACACTCGTCAAACATGTTCGAATGCGTGAAAACTTCGATTCACGCGTCAGTTAATTTCGGAGAGGAAGGAAACATTTATTTCGTAACGCGTGCTGGTGTTGCTATAAAATATTCATAACCTCTTACGTTCGTGTTCACACTGTTTCAAGAATTTGGAAGTTTCCAATGAATTTTTATGAAATAATCCCATCCTTAACCTCTTGATTTACAATATCGTGAGACTAGTGGTAAGGAAATCGGGCAAAACATGACGTAGCGAGAGGCGTGGTTTGTAGATACGGTTCAACGTAAACATTGTCAGGCTCGGACAGGCTCGTGGTTAATTTTCGCGGATGTTTTTCTGCCTCAGTTTCGTGTTATTCTTCGTCGTGTTCGCGCCAAGTGTCTCGACGTGTGAGCGACCTTGCTGTTGATTGTGGCACGCACCATTGAAACGTACATCGTGGGACTAGAGGTTAAGACGAGGTATATATTACAGGAAAGATATTATTCCGGATTTTCTGTTCAATTCCAACTATCGGTATCCAAAATCAAACGTCACGAAAACCCAAATCCATTTCCCAACGTCCCCCCTCCCCAAGGGGTTCCACGCGTATACTCGGGAGATACAGGATATTGTTAAAAGAATTACGTAAGAAAGAATCATTTTACCCGTCTAGTGACTCGAATTTGCCCGGTGAACCACGTGAGGGCGTTCATCTTTAGAACGAGAACACACGACCACCAGGCGTAAACAGTCCACAGATCTGCAGGCCCGTTCGCAAGATTGCTCGCCATTGTTTCACGCTAGCCGACTGACTCCGTATCGGGAAGAAAAACGCGAAGAATGGCGGACGTAGTTGGTTGTTTGCTGGACATTTCTTTCACCCCGTCGCGTGTGCCGTTTTGGACGTCGAGAGGCGAACCATTTATCAACGCGGCGATAAAGGAGCCGGCAGGTAAATAAAAGAGGTAAGGAGAATGCAACGACGTATCGGAGCACGAGGTGCGGGGGGTATTAGAAAGTTAGCACGAGCGCGCAATACGCGAGAGGAAAGTCGACGCGAGAGGAAAGTGCCGCGTTAAAATTCACTTCGCATGGATTCGTTGTCGTTCGTTGCTACCAGACGACTGACTACCTCGAAAACCGGTGTCCCGAACGTGATCTCGTGTCCTACGGCCGCATTTGGAAGTCAAATCGGCGCGCGCCATGCCGATTCTTCGCCGGGGACACGTTTCGGAAACGTCGCGGCATTTGTTTCGAACCGACTCGTTTTATTTTTCCCCGTGAAAACACGCCGGAGTTAAAAAGTTTAGGAGTTGCTGAACACGTGGTCCACGCGGAAGAAGTTTTGGTCGTCGAATCGAACAGCGCTAGGCAACGCGAATAGTCGAGCAAAGTGAGAGATATTGCGAATTTACAAAGTTCCTTCGATCCTACTTAAGATCGCGTTAACGATCTTTTGGGAGATTGATGCCGGAATAAATTCCGTTTCGCTTGAAATCTCGAGGATATTAATAGAAGAGGGAAATCGTATCTGTTCAGTGGTACATGTATTGATACTTTCGTTTAAGAGCATTTAATTTACATATCTCTTACATCGGTTACCCTAAGACTCTTTATCACGGTCGGATCGGTGAATCCCATCTACTAAGAAACCATTAAATTCGTAGTTGCTTAAAAAAGAAATTACCGGTTTTGTCGGTTTTGTCCCGCGATCTCTTGCGCATTTTACCTCATTTTTCCTTCCTGTGGTCCTTCGCATTTCGACAGAGCTATTTATTCGAGCAATCCGGGGACGAGTTCGAGGGACACCTATATCTCTCGGAATATTTTCTCCGACGTTCATGAAATATTTATTTAGATGGGAAATTTCAGGAACTCTGTCGGGAATGTTTAGGAAAGTTTCTTATACGAGAACTGGATTGATTACAGGATTAAATCATTCTTAAAGGACGTTAGTTGGGACGTTAGTCGTGTTTCTCTCTGCCAGCGAAGCATCGTGTAATTAAAGTGACGTTGGAAAGAAATTTTCGTGGGGTATGCGAGATTATTGTCACGTTAGCAAGCGCCATTGCTCTTCTTAATGTTCGCCTGTATCGACACTTCGATCAGATTGTTCCCGAGGAAGAAGTCGGTCGCGACGATGTTCGTCTCCTTCCACCATTCCTCCTGGAATTTATACGTGAGATTTCTGTTCACCGAGTCGGCCATCTGCCGCAGCCCACTGGATAAATTGAAGATTATATCCAGTGGATATGGCGTTAACTCCGCCATCACTGCCCATAATGGATTCTGACTGTTTCGAGACTTCTTCGGGCCCATGATCACTTTGTCCAGATACTTGAATAGTCCTTCCACCGTTTGCTGGTTGCCCCAGGCTTGTGACATCGTCGGCCACAGCCAGTCGTATTCTGAGACGAAATCGAATAAAATCAAAGCAGATAAAATAAAATTCGTCGGAAATGAGAGCAGGAGATGAAAGTATCGCGTGTACCGTAGTGGTGAAATTTAAATAGATTAAATCAGGATTATAATTCACGAATCAGATGCAAGATACGAACGAGATGAATCTCGCCTTTGGCGTTTAATAGGAGATTTACCATTAACGGTGTGCTTATCGTCGTAGCAAATTATCAGGCGTTTCCCTTCGGTCCAAATATCATTCAAGGTCGGACCCAGACCTTCGACCCCTCTATTGGGTTTCAGAATCAGACCTTCGAATTCTCGTGAGAGGATCGTAGCCAATTGACGATGCGTATTCGGTCTATCTTCGAATCCCACGGGAAATCTACAAGTAATGTAATTCCATGTTGAGCATCATTCCGTTCTGACGATGTCGTACAGTTGTTATCACGTCGATACCTATCTCGAAACATTATTACAACTTTATCCGTATTTTTATATCGTAGCAAGTATTTTCATATCATATTCCATTTTCCGACAAAAATTTTTCTCCAGTTACTATCTCGAATCGACACCTTTGGACCGTACTCGTATTTATTTTTATGTTGGCTCGTAGAATTGGTGTTTTAAAAACGTTCCACGAATATATTAACATTTTCTGTGCTGCATCGTCGTCGCAGCACAGGGTTCACGTTTTGCATCGATTCATCGATGACGACAGTAGAAATTTGATCGCGCTGTCAGCACGTTACAACAGCGTATTAATTGGCGTTTAATATTACGTATTATCAGGTTTCGTGGAATTTTTATTTAACACGCGATATTCCTTTGTTGCAATTGATAGCAATTTGATAACTGGTTCCCGAAAATCCTCAAGGACGAACAATTACCTATGATTTCTTAGACACAGAGCATTCGCTTCTTCCTAACCTGCATATTTTACGATATAATATATAATTGACATTTCCGGTCAACGGCTGTGTACATGATAAAGAATCGAGGAAGTAGAGGTATATCCTGAACATCGACGTACTTCGATGAACAACTGTACACGATTAACCTTGAAATTTATGAACACGTTGACCCACTGCGCTGAATTTCGTAACCAATTGGAATCAATTCGCATCGCGGCCATCGAATCGTTCTCCCAGCATTATCAATTCGCAAATTGACAATAACTTATTGCATTATTTCGTATCGCCAATTTACCTATGAAAGTCCATGATGACCACCTCTCCCCTAGCCACGTCTAGGAAGCTTCTCACGTCTTTGATGATGTCCGAGAGAAGGGTGATCCGGACGACGTCGTGATTGATCCAAAATCTGTTTATGTGGTTGTCCTCCTCGATGTCGGTACTGTTCGGAATCGACGGATAATAACCGACTCTGATGTCCAGGTACCTAATACCGTGCACCAATTGCGTCCACACGTCGCGATCTTGGGTCAGCAGGTACTTTTGGAACGCGTCCCTCCTGGTCAGGTCACCGTGCTTGTAGCTTCCGGAATTATGCGTTCCGGGGATCATTAAGCTCCCTATCGGAAGTCTTCCTAATTTCCTCCTAAAGAAGGTGCGATATACCCGAGCATTTACCACAATTTTACGGCGAAAGCGTAATTTACGAACGAGGAGGACGAGGAAGGAAAAATATCTTTGCTAAGAAATATATTTGGAAATTTATAATCCTATTACCTCAGATCGTACATCCACGTCGGCCAAATCTGTAAACAGGCGCTCGTGAGGATGGCTCCATCTTTGTACAGACCAGCATGATGTTTCAGGCAATGTGGGCCAGGAAGCGTTGCGCCATCCTTGACGTCCCATCCACCCGGAAGCGCAGGACGTCCAACCGTGATGTTCGTTCGATAGTAACCCCGTGGGTATTGCAGGGAAGTCAAAACCAGCTTCGGTTTGATCGTTTTATCTGGAAGCGCGATGTCGATGGTTGCGTCAATCGATATCGATATAGTTGCTCGTGACCTTATAGCGTCTTTTGAATAAATCGCAAATTTTTTCTATGCCGTTCGAGTAATAATCGTCACGAAAATATGCCAGATTTTCATTTTCGTAAACGAGAAAGAAGGTAATAGAAGGAAAGAATAGGTCCAAATCGTAGAGGAAAACTATATTTAGACAGGTTTTAAATGCCTGAATCACGAGTTACGATGTTGAAGAGAAGCAAACAAAACTTATTACTATGTGCTGGGTCAGCAGTGAACACCTTGATGGTATCTGGGAATCCTGTGTCCGATGGACAATCGATGTCCCAATTTACTTCTAGCTCAGCGTCGACCACCTTGTTGCTGGCAGCGATTGGTCTCCACAACGAGGAGACTGTCAGCCATACCTTTCCGCATTGCGTTGCCAATGCTAAAAATCGTTACCCTCAGAAACTTCCATCGCGAGGATAAAACGATTCGAACTGGCGACGTAGAGTACACTCACCGATGTCGCAGAAGAGATGAAGAAACAAGAATATCGCACCCTTCGGCATCGTCGCGTAACGCTACTGTGTCCAAGCTCTCGCTACAAACGGTGCCCCAACGTTCAACGTCAGAGAACTTCCTGTGTTTCCAACAGAGACGAAAATTTGGTCACGAAGACAGCATAATTTACTTCGAACGACAAGCTCAACGACGGAGCATCGATTTCTAATCGGGATTTTCATCGGCCGCGGTTTCGCTCGAGCGAACGAGGTGGAAATAAAGCGAAGAGGAGAGAAGAAGAAGCCGAAATAAAAGTGGAAAAAATGGAAGCGGAATAGTAGGCCAGCAGCAAACACTTACACCTCGCGCGCGCACACCGCGAGCCACTTGCGACGCAGCGAGTCGATCGCCAGGAGTCCCTCGAGTCCTGGTTCTCCTTGCTTCCCGATGCCCGATCGAGCATTCAGTCGCGCTTCGTTGCCCGTCCACGGAAGCGTTGTCGCTTTCCCTGCGTCGCTTTCTCGCTAGCAGCCTTCAAGGATATCGCAAACCACCCGCTCGGCTCATCGCCCGCGGTCCGCGCGACAGGCAGCAGCGATGGATTCACGGTAGAGCGAGCACTGGCGGAAAGCAGCACGACAAAGAGGCGAGGATCGATCGCGTTATCCTGCTGGCCAACCGATCCGGCCGTCTGGAGACAGTCCAGTGACTGAACGATGGACAACCGAACGACCCGTAACCGGACCAGTTTAATATAGAACCCGCTCGCTTATGGGACATTCAAGCACATTGTGCCATCCTTCCATCACTTCCTCGGACACGTCAATTGCTCGGTGGGGACCACGTAGCTGTCCTCGTCGGCCAACCGATGGAACACGTTGCGTTTTTCTCTGTCCGCCGTTCGGTCATCCTATCGACTGCCGTCTACCACCGGGGGTCAGACCGGGCCTGACCCGCCGGCATTAAACACCATTTCCTGCGTATGCCGTGGAATATATAGTTTCGAGACAACGACTACGGAGGAAGGGCGAGCAGATCGGAGCGTACGCGCGGCCAACGAGCATCGACGGATCCGTACCGGGGTTGGGGAACGGATTCTGATTCTACATTGAATTATCACCCTCGCTCGTGGCCGTACAAGCGGTGAGGTAGAGAGCGGCGGCAGTCGTGAGAGCTAACAGGATGATGATTAGGTACAGGTGCAGCCAACGAGGCGACTCGATTTATCGTTACTCCGCGTTCGATGATGTTTCCCTACCACCGACTATCGCCCGATCGTGTTCGATCGCGTGTCGTTTCCCAGCAGACGGATCATCTCGCTGCTGGATAGTGAAGCGACCGGTTTTGTTCCAGAAATTGTTTACGATCCTCGACACGTGTTTTCCGGATTATTCGCGGCAAACGAAGGGACGCGGTTTTGCGAAAATTCATTGTTCGTCGTTCCGTTAATCGGCGTACAACGAGCAACACGGGATTAGGTATTTACAATGGGGCGTATCTTTTTCTAGCCGTGTTTATTAATACACGGTTTATTAATTTCGTTTCGTGCCGCGAATCCTGTTTCGGCGTTTCGAATGCGCGATGGTTCCACGATTTCATAGGGTACCAATAGAATCCACTTTTCCCGTAATCGATTCGAAATGGTGTCGGGTTAGAACGAGTTTAGAAATATGACATAATTGACAGAGGCCTTACCTGTTTACCGCGGCAACGAAATCGTACACGTGATAGAATAAAATCACTCTGTATAATTCGTTTAGTACAACAGATATACAATTTATTTACAAATCTCACGCGTGTGTACAAAAACGATTTGGGCGCGTACGCACGCGCGTTAGCCTACTCCTTAATTAGTCTTGCCGCGTTAAACTCTTCTAATCGGCGTTTATAGTACACAGAAGGACGTTAATACGATTTGATTCGTTGAGGTAGATAATTTAATCAGTCTATGAAGCTGCTTTGTCGGTCGGTTTGCTCGTTATTGGCATCAATTCGCAAAACTCGGTTCCGGCGCGTTCTATTCAGTCGGGCTGAACGTTTCTACTTAATTTGCCCCGTTCAGTCCTGGAGGACATCGAACGTGGCGCGACCATAAGCTGGCAATGTTAATACTGAACGTCCCGTGTCCAAACTTCTTCGGTACATGTACGCGTAATTGCTGCGATTTCCTTCGACATTGCATTGCTCGTCACTCGGTATTTCATCGGACTTCCTTAACGTTTTAATCGTCCGATTAAAAGTTCCCGATGTTACCGAGTTCCCCGTTTCTTCGAGCAGAAAGTCGCAATTATATCTCTCATTGTAAAATAAAACTCACGCGAACGATTCGTTTCTGAGAATCGCATCGCCCTTAACTAGATAGATACAGAAGAAATTTCGTCTCTCGAATTCGCGAAGAAGCCTGTTTCTGTCGATAGTACGTAAAGTATAGAGAGGGTTCTGCCTTATCTGTGACACTCGAAATTGCAGCATAAGAAATTGTCCTGCGAATATGCTGTTCTCTATTTGACCAGGTACAAAGACGAGAGGGAAGGATGTTTTGGTAAATTGGAAGTCGAGCCTCATGGCTGATCATCAGCGACCGCGTGGTTCAATGACGAACGCGCGTGAATTGATTCGTAACAACGTGATTATATGCCCGTTTACTTTGCCTACAAGCTATCAAATAAATTAAGATACTCGACTACTCGCGAGGGTGGTATGAAACGTACGTTTCACGCGCAAGTACGAACGACGAAAATTGTAAAAGGAATTCCCGTTGGATTAAGTAACTCGCTCAGGCACGAGCTCGATCGTCGAGCTCGATCGACTCGATTCCTCTAACGAGGACTCCGAGTATTTCATAGAAACTCTAACAAATCGTGTATGTACAATTTGGTTGATCTCCGCTCAAAATGGTCTCGAGGGACTTGGGAATTAGAACAAAACGTGTCCGCTCGGTTTCATGGACACGTTAAACGTTCCGCTTCCTTTCGTTTCTTTTCAGTCTCTTCTTTTCCGAAGAAGATTCCCAAGAAAACGTTGGTTTTCATCGAGCAACGATAAATACGGCGGGAATAGAACGAAACACGTCGTGGTCGTCTTCTTTCGTTGTTCCCATGACGGAATGTCTTCTCGGTGCAACGATTCAATTGGCCCGTTGCGTAAGGAGATTTAGCAGCTCGTCGTGATCCATACTGTTCAACGTTTGAATGTCGATGCCCAGTGCGTTCGCCACGCTCTTCATGTCGAGGCCGAAGCTCTTCAACAACTCGATGAAGTCCATTTCCTCGCCGGTGAACGGGTTGTGCAGCTTCGGGCAGCTGTGATTACACTGCGGCCAAGTGCAACGTTCGATTAACCGGAAGTGGCAGCCCTGGACACACTTCCGTTTGCCAGATGGTATCACCGAGCGCTGCGGTCTGGTCCCGTTGAACATGCCCGTGTGGTTGCTGTCGTTGTTCTGCTTGTTACCCTTCCGGCGGCCTGGAATTCCAACGAATTTCCAATGAATCGGTATGTCGTCGAACGTGTCCTCCGAAAAATCTGATTCGGAAAGCGACTAGTCGCGCGGTTCGTGAGAACGAGACACCCGTTCGTTAATTACGTTTTCCCTTTAAATATATTTAAGGGAGGGCGTATGTAAGAAGAATATATGTGACGAATTTAACCCTTTGCACTCGGCGATATTTTCGTTAAAGGAAAATAGTAATTCGAAGACATTCTGTCATAAAATCGACCATATTTTTAAAACGGTGAATAAGAAATCGTATGCAAATTAAGACGTAGAATTATTTTACTTCGAGATTCTATGCAGTGTTGGGTAATTTAAAATTTGATATATCAATTAACATCGATCTTTAGAATCTGATTAAATGGCGACCGAGAGCCGTCTCTCGAGTGCAAAGGGTTAAAGGCGTTGAACGTGGCTTCGAAAATTAGGGTGGGTAGAAAATGTTACTCCAGAAACGGTGGAAATTAAAAATCTTAGAGGAATCTCGAAAAGTTAGAGAAGAAATGATAGAATAGGAATGGAAATGCTGCAGACGTAACCCAATTCTTTTACATTTCAGCTGTTCGATCGCATCGAATCTTTATAATCGTTTTATCGATAAAAATGTAGGTCTATGATTTAATTACACTCGTCGAATCGTCTCGCCGTAGCATTACAGTTTTATTCGTCTTTGGTATGTTTAAACCAATGATTACCCGCTTTTCTACGCTCGTGCTTCTCCTTCTTCGTCCTCGCTTCCTTGTTCCTCTCCCTCCGTTTGCCTTTGTGCTTCCGCCTCTTCCTCTTCTTATTCTCCCTGTCCTGCAGTAGGACATTCGACGTGGACGTTTTCCCGTCCACCGATTTACTCGTCACCGGCGACCTGACTTTCTGCAAGTCCGCCACGGACTCGCTCTTTCCGCTTCTTCTCGACTCGGTCGAAGTTCCGTTTCCCTTCGTCAGACCGGATCTCAGTAGCTTTCGCAGCGACTTGGTGCACGGCTGGTTCGTCTCGATTGGCGAACGGGTACTGAAATTGACAGGGACGAAGTCAGACCGCTGTCAACAGCTTCGCATCGAAGCGAATAGCGCGAGAAAGAGGGAAACAAGATTTTCGAAAATCGCTGAATATTCGAGTAGATAGAGAATTATAGAATAGAAAGTACCATCGGTTCGATATCATTTTGTATATAATTTTTGTGTAATTTTTGTACAGGAGGTAGAGTGTTTTTACTTTAAGAGTACTCACGGGTGGTTGTTTCGCATCGCATATGTTTCTAATGCATTTTGTTACTCACTCGTTCCGGTGATTCCCGGTTGGCATTTGCTCCCAACAGTGTAACGCCTGCGCCAAAGAAACCTCGTCTATTTTGACCAACTGCCAATCCCTCTTCGTGAGAACACTGTGACTAATGCAGCTCGGGGCAAAGACCGCGCTAACGTTTTCGAAGGTCTGCCGCAGACTGTCACCCATCTTGTGTATATAATCCCATTGTTGCTTCGTCACTGGTGCACCCACATTGTCCGCCGACATCTGCGCCTCGTCGAACAGCCATTGAAAAACGAACAGGGGCGCTACGAATTTTGGAAAGCAAATACTTCTCTCAACTGCAACTTCCCTTCTTGCGAGTTTTCAAATTTTACGTTCAAATATAACCGATAGTTCGAATAATAGACGGAGAAGGGAGAAGCCATTCGTATAGCTAACGTTTCATTACCAGTCAACGTTGGATACAGTCTGTAGCCAAAGTAGCACCTCCACGGTTCGTTCGGGTGTTTGTTGACGCAATTGTGCGGCATTCGGGCCTTCCAAAGTTCCATCCCCTTGTGGACAGCGTCGACCGGTGACAAACCGTTTGGCGAATAGGGAGCCCTGTCAAGAAACCACCCCGAATCGGATACACCTCTTATCGCGATGTGTTTCAAGCCTGTACGTCGTAACAGAGAATTCAAATTCAAGACTAAAACTTTATCTTCGCCGATACGCTACACGCGACCTTTAAACGTGCTTTTCCAGAGGATCGTGGAGTAAAGAAATCAAACTCACCTAGGTTATGGTGGACCAAACTATGCACGTGATCCAAGTTCAACATGACACCGGTGCCTCCCGCGCTGCTACCAGCCAAAAGAAGGGAGCTTGCATTCTCGAGTCCAAGGGGAACGAGGTCTCGCACCACCTGCAGCACAATCTCTGCCCCCATGAAGGAAAACATGTCATTCGGCGAAGCTCTGGTGCCACTCCAACTGTCACTCGTGCAGTAGGGGACGAATCTGAAGGAACGAATAAATCTGGTTACGGAAATCGGATTACTGACCTCTCTAGTCAGCTGGAACTGTCGAAAATTGAAAAACAAAAATGGTCTTGCTAAAACGGACAATACCTACACGTGATTCGCGTTCCACCAGAACGGATTCTCCTCCGGATTTGCCGACAACAGGCCACCAACTGCAATCATCGACATTGTCAAGATTATTCGCGTGTACGGCAATGGCGGATGTATCGATATCGCGAGTGTCGAAAGTTTCTCCAACGTCGTTTAAATTGCATTTACTCGAATAAGCGACGATTCCGTTATCTATCGAAGCTTCTAACTCTCCCATTCGCGACGACTAACACCCCCGTCTGGTTTTCCCCGGGAGAAAGACCGAACCCCTCTAACTGGAACAATGCGACGTGCGGTCACGTGTCGCGAAACTCGTTAAACAACCGAGAGAACGAGCGACGGAAGATTGCGGAACAACGTTCCACGGGAAATGTTAGAAAGTGTCGGGTTAGGCGAACACACGACTTTCCAACGGAAGCTACTCACCGTCGCGTGTCTCAGGCCACTGAGTCGACGTCATCAAATGCCTCAACCTGAGCCACCTGTTTCTGCAGCTCTTGTGGTCGTAGCAATACCAGCCACCTTCCAGGAAAATGATCCACCTCTTAGAGCCGTGCGACTTCCGCAGGTAAAACCCCGCCTGGGATCCATCGTTGCATGTGATCGACCTGTTGCTCAGGTAGACCCTCTTCAGGCCCCTTTGCTCCTCGAGCCCGTACTTCTCCAGAATCTTGATCAACTTTTGGATCGTGTTGCTCTGGATCGCTGCCGTGCCAGAGGACACCGAAACGGTGTTGGTCGGTTTCTCTTCGGCAGCTATCGTTAGCACGAGAGCCGTCAGGCACATCGAGATCTGCAAACGACGTCAGGATTCGTGGTTCATCGCTCGTGCGTGATTCGTGGCTTCGACGAAGAACCGATTCCACGGTTTTTCAGAGACCACGAGGTCTCGATCTCGCGGTTTTTCTAGAGGAACGTGACAACCATCGCGCAATTATTATCAAGCAAAGAAGCTCGTTAAGACCCAAATCGACGATAATATACCGCGCGGAATTGCAATTACGGAAGACAAAGTGGCGTCGCATAATTCAGCAAAGGGTGAGCTCTTGAACCGGGCAACTTTGAATTTTATTCGCGACACGTTTGTTCGCAAAAAATTCCAATCTCGGGCACGTGGTCGGAAATCGAATTAGCGAAGGTCGGGGATCCCGTTCCGCGAGACCGAGTTATAAACTGGAAACGCCGGCTGAGTACGTTAATCGCTATATGGTCTATGATAATGAGCCGACCAAGATATCGCGACTGAGCGAGCAGAAACTGCAAGCGAAGGAGATAAGCTCTTCATCGCCAGTCTCCCGCGTACATAGCTCGAAAATGACCATTATTCAACCTGTTAGGCAAATACATCTTACCGCGGGGTAAATGGGCGACATCAGCCACTCTTCTCAGCCCCTCGAGGACGAGGATCGTGACTTTGCGTTGAAAAATTCGCCTCATTGATTCGAATACATTAGCTCGACGAGTCTCTGGCGGATCATCGTCGCAGTGCTGACAGAGATGCATCGATGCATTCGTGCCTCTGCTTTCCTCGTTATACGTCTACACGGGCAGAACGTTGCTCGAATACGGATGGCAATGTATGGATGAAAATTTTCGAAAAATTTTTGCAAAGACAAATCGATCCCCGTTTCGGAAGAACTGACGTGAACACCGGCGTCTTCGCATAGCGAAAATTTTCCAACGCCATATTTCATTCCCAGCCGATCCAACACGCCCATCCACTGCGCGTTTCGAATTTCGAATCACTTTAACGACCGTTTGCGACCATCTCTAGAATTTCAGCAGCCGTGTTCGTACACGAATCTCTGCCTCGTTCACGACATTCCTCAAAGAGCAAGAGCAACAATTTCAAATCAGCCAATTTCCCTGCCCCCTGCCGGTCCCGTGTTTCGCAGGCCTGTAATTTCTCCGTCGACAGGGATTTTCACCGTGAGGGCATAGAAAGCAATAACAACGTCGAAGCGGCGCGGTAACAAACGAGCAGCAGGCCGCGGGAATAATTTAAAAGGAGGAAGCGTCGTTCCTCCGCGGCGCCACTCGCTCTCTCTCCTTCTTCCTCTCTTCTTCTCCATCGCTGTAGTAGCTCTCGCGCGTTTCGCCGCAACCATCCCTCCGTTTCTCACTCTCTCCCTCTATCGTCCTCTCGCTCTTTCCCCTGTACACGCACACGCGTATAGCACGCGTGTGGACGCGCGTACGGACACACGCGTGCAGTTGCTTTGTCTGCCTCTTTCCGTTGCTCTCTCGGTTCAGCTCTATCGCGATGCCGGCTACTTAGGATCAAGTTCCAGCTTTCAGGACGGTAGCCGGCGGCGGAAACACCTCGGAAACAGAAGCTCGTTCTGGCGGGCAGAGCGAGATGAAAGGGAGCCGCCCAGCTGTGGACGCTGGAAAGGAGAAACGTTGTTGCGACGCAATTATGATCGGTCATAATGGGCCGCGAACACCGGATCGCCTTTGGAGCACGTATCGGAACACGCCGCCGGCGAGAAAGAGCCCCTTTCGAGCTGCTACGACCGTGAAGCGGACGTTTTCGACCGGGCTTTCGGCTCTTGTCCGAGGAAATGAACTTGCGCAGCGTGTTTCTTTCTACGTCGTTATCGTCCTCGCCCGAATTAATCTCGTAATTACTTTCCCCGCCATTTCTCCCTTTCCCAGCCAACCGAGGAAATTCATCGAGGTTACGAAAATTCGGTGACTCTTTACTAATTGTCACGCGATTTTCGCGACTACTTTCTTACTTAGTAAGCAAATCACGAGGAAATGCATATATAGAAAGACAAGTTTATTTTATTGTTGAAAAATTGATCTCTTGTTTCCACAATGGTGGATAGATCCCAAGAAAAGTGATTGAAATTAACCCTCTGCGCTCGAGAGACGCACTTCAGTCGCCATTTGATAAAATTTCGAAGCACGATATTCATAAATATGTCAAATCTCGGATAATGTAACGATGTGCGAGGTATCGAAATCAAATAATTCGAATAATTTCTGCTCAGGAAAATATCGTCAATCTTGTAACCGAAAATCTTTGAACTCCTATCCTTCTTTGGCCAAAAGATCGTCGAGTGCAAAGGGTTAAACTCGTAATTAATTGCCGCGAGTGGTATAGTTGTATAAAGCGATCGCACAGAATAACATCATCTTGGAGATTCTTCCTATTTATATCTCGTCGAACGAAAACACATCTATCCTAGCTTGCAAAATTACCCTGGATTACCAAAACTGATCCCGAGCCATCACCCTTGCCGCTTACGGCCATCGTTAATTATCCCCAAGTGGCCTCTCGGCTTGCAAGGCAGAAGAGGATATCAAAGTTCCGTTAACCATGGCTAATCCGTGCAATGTCGTCGTAGAAGCCGACCAGCCAAGTCGTAAATATCATTTACACGGAACTGGCGGCGGCGGCAGGCGGAAGGTTCGCTCATCCTCGGGGCCTGGCTAACGTTTCACGCTTCGATGACGCTGGAAATCGCGGAAAAACTCTCGCTGCTCTCCCCTATCGGCGAGGAAAATCGGCCCTCTCTAACGTGGAAGCCTGGAACGCGATCGCTGTCCGCTTTCGTAGCCGATTTTACGAGCAGGCTCGCCCCGAAGCGCCGCCGAGAAACCGCGACGAATCCGAACTTTCGGGCAGATCGTAAATAAAATTCACGACCCCGGACCCTCCCACGCTTTGCGTAACCACTTTATTATGCCGTAAATCAAGCTGTCCCTGCGCGCGAACGCCCGTTACCGAGGGCCCGCTGCCTCGTGTACGTGGAAAACTTCGTGGATGAGGAAAAGGGGTGGGAGGAAATCTTCCTAGCCATGGAGCACCCCCTTTTCTCTGTGAACGATAACGACACGCAAAATTCCTGGTCGTGTAGCCATAATTCGGTGATCCAGTGTCCACGCTATTAATTTAGCGCGGTGTAGTATGGCCGGTCGAGGACGTTACGAGGGATGACGCGTTGCCGCAACGGGGTGGAATTTTTGAGGTTCATGATTCGAGGAATAACGTTCTTCCTATGTACGTTTTGCTTCGCTACGTCTTCGAATTAAATCGCGTAAAGTATCGGAATAAAATTTGATGCGTTTATTTTTTTCTATACTGAGCTAATAAATTTGGAAGTTTCGTTATAGTAGGTTGCTCTTTGTACGTTGTAATAATTAATAAGCGCATAGGTATGATACGCTACCATTAATGGAGCTTTAAGCCATCAAAGCAACTATCGATTCGACAAGACTTACAATAGCAACGAGCTCGCGCTGGCATAGATTATGCGTTCCTACGGAATATGCAAGTATTCCAACTACGTTGTATTTTCTCAAGCAAAACGCGGCTAAAATAGCTGGAGATCTTGGTCGTTTAATTACTCCGATTAATCGGATTTTTGGAAGTACCGGATCAGCGAACCATCGTGCATCAATTTCCACAAACGTGGAATACGAAGCTTCCCCATAATTCATTTCCATCCCCTTTAAATTTATAATCCCTCTGAATCCGCGCATAATTCGGACGTGCCTCTCAAAGAACTTGTCCCGGTGCTTATGAAAACCTCTCTCGTCCCTCCCTTTCCCTCTCGTTCGCCACTCTCTTGCTCCCAACCCCTCAGCTCTACCGGCTCCTTTCCTCTCTTCCGTATCCGGCGCATTAGAGGGTGTTCTGGGCGTGAAGGTGTCCGTCATAATTTGCCAGCCGGCGCATAATCCCCGTGACAAAGGCCGACAAAGTGACGTCTGTTACTGGCCGCCACCCTTTATTCAGCCTGCTAAGATTCCGGTAGCAGGTAAAGCGTTTAAAGACTCCGGCCATTCGAGCCGGATAGATGAATCACGACGCGGCTAAACTGACTTCGCTTCCAGACGAGACTCCTTTGCCGGTGCTTCTGCCTCTCTTGTTGGTTACGCTCCTGGCTCTTTCCAGCCTTTCGGCTCATCTTTTCTTAATACCTCGCGTTTCCGCGTGTTACGCCTATCGCGAATTTTCTTCGATCCCCACGAATATTCGTACACGCGAGTAACGATTGTTTCGACGAAATGCGGAAATCTCACGTGTCATAAATGGCATATTAATTCGAGAAAATGTAGGAATTTATGAGCGCCGAGATTTCCCTATGGGCTAGCGTTCAGACATTCTCCTTTGAATGGAAAGAATTTAATAATCGTCGCGTCAAACGTACGCTTCACCACCCGACAGCTGTCGATATTCCGGAAATCCCTTTCGTTACCTCGTCCCACGATTCCTTCGTGCCCATATCGTCATCGAATTTCTGAACGCACAGGCCCGCTCGATCCGCTTATCGTCTTCCGCATCCATCGTGCCAATTTCACTTCCCTTCCGTGGCTTTTCTTTCAACTTCTTATCCGTAAAGAATCTTTGACGTCAGACACCAGTGTATGCAAAGAATTCATTTACAAAATTGAATTTTTGCCTGTACCTAAAGAAACATCGTAAAACTGGAGAAACCTTTTTGGGGTGCACGGTGTTTTATCTTACGAGATATAGAGGTGCCGGAGGAAAAATCTCGAAAGCCAAACATTTCTAACCAGATGCCTTTACGTATCGAACAACCGGTTAATCGATTCTATTGACGATCTCGTCAGAATTTATCTTCGTAATTTCATTATTCGAGCCTATCTACGGTTCGATCTCTGGCTTTCGCTTCGAGGTACACTCCTAATCGTAAAAACTTCTTTGTGCCACATCCCTGGCTCTTTAACACGCTTCAACTTTCCAACTTTCTTCCTCGCATCATCGTTCACACCGCGTCGCGGAAGGCCAAACGATCGTTAAATTTCTCGCTGAAAATCAACCCCCGGGACTCCGAGCGGGACTGCTCCGACCCCCGAAGAGACGCGCGAAATCCCGGCGCACCCTGCTCGCGAGCAACTCCCTTTGTTTTGCGTGGCTACGTGCATGTCTCCTAGCGGCTGCTTTTTTCCAGAAGGTCGATTCGTTTCGCGGGTGCTCCGGTGGCCGGTGGTGCGTGGCATTCCATCGAATGCACGCTTACGAGCCACCGGTGCGGCTCTCCTTCTCTCTCTTTTCTCTCTTCTCTCGGTACTCACGGTGGACGCGAAAACAAGTTAAAAATAGCCAGCGAGCGGATCGCGGTCGGCACCTTTGAGGCCGCGGCTCGGAACCCGCAACAGTCGTTGATCGTTCGCATCGTGTTTCGTCGTCCGGATGTTGATGATGATGGTGAGAGACCGTCTCGTTACCATTACGAGGGCCGCTCACGCAGCCGGCTAACACGCACCGCAAACCTCGCATTACCATAACCGCGTGCACACAGAACCGTCGCCGCTTCTTCGCCGCTTCCACCAAACGGGGAAGGGAAAGA